TCTGAATAGAACCCGGATGTTAAAGGCTTGGGACCTAAGGATTCTACTACATTCTTGTGTATCAAGGTTTAACCTGGAGTCTCTTGAATCTGTGGAACCTGACTGGTTAGAAGTGAATCAGTCGATATTCTAATATGGTTTAGTTCTTTAATACAAAATTCATATAGTTCGAGCAATGTCAATTGTGTAACACTTCCTACAGATCTGACAAGAGTTGACAGTGGGAGAGGGAGCTAGTTTCCCCACATGCTCTCTGTGTAGTCAAGGTGGAAACATCCTCTATCGAGAAGGCATCTCATATCACATCCAATTTCATCGACAGTGTTGTGACTGTGGACGATACCAGTTTAGGAGACGATGAGACAGGCACTATACTTTCAGAGAGAATTGTCTGTTTCTGCGGTGAATACGGACCATAGCCTGACCTCTTTTCGGACGTTTGGCTCGGCGGACCGCTTCAGGCATTATCGAGATACGCGTCAGACTCTGTTTGCAAAGAGATGGCGACATTGCCGACAACTGTGACAACAAACAGTGTCTGAGTGGTGAGGAGACAATATATATTCTGTGCATGAGGTATTGGATTATTATTTAAGAATTGAATGTCAGTTTGTGTGTTTGCACTGAAAAATGAATGATGTCAAAGCGGTGTTCAAACTTGTGTGAACGAGCGAGTTTACGAGAGTTTGAACACCGCTTTGAACACACAAACTAACATTCAATGCAGCGATGTTTACAAGTATACAAGGCGATTTTTTTTACACATGTATCCCAACCCTTGACGAAATAGTTCTCAAAGTCTTCGGTCTTTAAAATATAACAAAAATTCGTCATGAGGTTTGAAACTGCTTTAATAAGTATAACATCAATAACAGTATCAAACAGAAACAAATATCAATAGCAATAACAATACCATTTTAACAAACTGGCATTGTACGTTTTACTATGACGGATTCGTTTGACTGGGTAATAATACACTGACCGACTTCGAAGTTGTGCGGCGTGGCGAATAGGAAGAAGATGTTGTTGTATTCTATTTGTTTGGGATTGTTTATTGTGACATTTATTGAGTAGTTGTTAAATAGACCTCGGGGCAGAACCCCACCGGATGAACCCGCAAACTGCGAGACATTAAACTCCTGTGAAAAGGAACAATGTTCGGCAATCCGTTTGGTAGTGACATTGCCAAACTTGGGGTGACTTGAAACAGGTTCGTTCGCGAAATTGGCATCACCAATTGCAGCAAGATTATTGGGGGTCCTTGAAACCGAAGCGAAAAACGTTCACACACGTATGAACGATGTTTACACAAGTATGAACGATTGGAAGGGTTCAAGAGTAATGAACCTTGAAATTTTCATCACATGACCACTCTCTCAACCAACCAACGTTCGGGAATCTGTGTAATCTTAATGCACGAAATTACCATAGTATATTTATATAGCGCACATATCCACACAACTAGTGCATGCTCAGGCGCTGGTACTTTTCCTTCGATCACTGGATGTCAATCTTAACGGTACATCGTATTATCAATCTCAACTCCCTGGGGAGTATACAACTCTTGCTGCCACTAGGCGCACCGAGTTATTGTGGCTGTCTCATCCTAACGAGGTACCCATTCACAGCTGGGTGGGACACATTGTCACAGTACTTTGTCCAAGTTTACTGCACGTGGCTGTACCCGCAACTAGGTGTTTGCACGTATTCATGTGGCCACCATCTGGTCATATACCAACGGATTCGTGGGGTCTTTAAGTGCACAGGGTTGTGTACTGTACACTAGGGGTTGTGACAACACTGAAAGAGTCTGCACACAAAGTTGACTCCAAGGTTTTTACACCTGGTCACAGATGGGCTCGATCCCGGCACCTCCAACCTCGCTGGATCACTAGCCTGGGGCCTTAGCCAGGTCGCCCACTGCGCCCAGCGGAGGTATTTGATGGTTCCATTATTTCCAACCAAACCAAACGGTTCACATCTTGAACAGTGTTAAAGACGGATATCGATAACAGTGTGATAAACAAAGAGTAACTATTCAAAAATACCCGGGCACCTGTTAACGAGAATGAGAGTGTTGGAACTGTCAGGTGATCGGGTCGCATGGGATCAGGTCGCGCGGGATTACAAGAAGGAAAAATGTTCAGTGTGAGAAAGGATGACGATAAACATACTAAATCATATACACAAACAGGAATGATTGTTGATTCATTCGGAACCTGTTGTGAGGTAAGTTGGGATCTTATTAGAAATGAGATCAGAGTTGCATATTCTTGTCGGCATTCGATTTGTGTCATAACGAGGCGTGTGATGAAGAAATGAGTGAGTTTCGTATTATGCGTTTTGAACTATATTTAACAGGAAGTGATGCAGGTCCGAGAACACGCAGCGACGCCCTGCAGCCCAGACAACTGATCTACGCCTGCAAGTACCACTGTACTATGTGGGGCTTGGAGAAGTATTTAATTGACTTTGTGTATTTGGTAGAATTGAAGCTTTCCTTTAGAAAAGGATGGCAAGGAGTGGTTTTGTTTCATCCTTGATTTCATTATGATTAACGTAAATATTCCTTTACTTCATGGTTTGTTTTTCAGATGAGAATAAATGATGCATCCCCTTACCTCTTTTTCCACACATTCCTTGCCGGCTGTAAACAAATAAAACCAAAGTTTCAGAGCTTCTCCCACTTACGCCCTTTGTGGCTACTGTAAATTCTATCATTGATGTGTGAGGCTTCAGTACTATGTTGCCATTCTAGTTTGTCATTGAATTGCCAATAAATGTATAAAAAGGTTTGACAAGAAAACACCAACCTTAACTGTTTGATCCCCCAGTGTATACCTGAGTACACTGTGCTACTCTAACAACATCATGTTGAAGTTAGTGTGGTGAAACTCATTGTTTATCTTAACTAAATCATAAGACTACGATGTGTCAACAAATTGTGCACAGGGACTGTACAGGTATTGACTTGACCTGCTTTGGTGTTACATGATTTGCCGATTCCATCTGAATATCTGTTGTGTTATTCACTGTCTAGAATTTACAAGGAACAATTACGCAGCATTTGAAAACTTCAGTTGTTAAGTTACAGGATGCTCTTTCCCTCAGTACACAACACCCCACTGAAGCGTCTGATGGTGTCGAAATCAAAGGCATGGTTTGTCCATGGGCACTATTGAGAGCATGTGTTACCTTGTGCCTGGATCACGTTGATGTTAGTGCTGACAAATCCGCCAGTCACATTTCCAACAGTGTTAGCCGTCCCTATGGAAAGGAAGTAAGCCAAAACAACTTATAAAAAATTGGCGTCCAATATCACTATTATCTGTATTCTACAAAGTTGCTTCAATGGCAATTTTTAAACGAATTACATCCGTTTTGGGCACATTGATAAACGAAGATCAAAAGGGCTTCATGTCTGGAAGATGTATAGGCGATATCACCCGACAGATCTATGACTTGACTGATTATACTGACACTTACAAATAACAGTATTTGGCCCGGACTTCTACTATTACTAGATTTTGAAAAGGCCTGCTGATTGGACATTTATCGAAAAAACTCTGACCTTTTTTAATTTTGGAGAATGAGTTAAAAACTGGATAAAGGTTTTCTATAACAATATCAAAATCAAGTGTACTTGTAAATGTTTTGGTTCAAATAGTTTTGAAATATACAGGGGTTGTCGTCAAGGTGACCCGCTATCACCATATCTTTTCATACTTTTAGATTCTCGCAATAATGATACGTTTAAATGAAGGAAATAAAAGGAATTCATGTAGGCAATGTAGAATATCTACTAAATCAGTTCGCTGATGATTCATGACTTTCAAAGTAAATGCTTCCGATTTATATGGGGGAAACAAACCCGATAAAGTCAAACGTGACCAAGTGATAAGCACTGTTAATGATGGTGGTCTTAATGCACCTAATGTAAAAGAAATAATGCAAGCTGAAAAGATTTCTGTCATAAGACAATTCCATAATAACCACACCAAATGGTGTAATCTTTTTTCCAAAAATCCACCTAAACTGGGTTCTGCATCTATTTTTGAATATAATTACACGGTTACCACGAACAGAAGCTCCCTTCTCTCACTGATGAACTTGAACTTGTTTGCATCTTCCTTCAGTGACAAAATCTGGTGTGCGTGAGTGAGTTTACGTTTAAAGTCACATCGGCGATATGTCAGTCATATCGTGACTAAACAATTTCTAAATACATGATAAATACAGAGTTGAATTATAAAAATCTGTCAACGAAGGACAATAAAAACCACTAGCAGATTATAGTCGTCCTTATTATGAATGATAGTGTTTCGAACAAACGCTGCCTTTGCTGAAGCTCGCAAGGAATTCAGTTCATTACGACCTTGTTTATACAGCTGCCAATGCACTTCAAGTTTGCTTTTCCTCCAGATTGTTTCCGCTCTACGACAATGAGTTTTCATTGCCCTGACATCATCATTGTTTAGAATTGGAGTTAGTAACATTAAAACATGTGTGTATTCTCACTGCCATTGTAGATATACTTGGATGTTATTTGTCAAAAACAATTTGTGGTACAAATACCTGCACAAGACCTATATATTATATCCAGTTGTTCTTTTTGTACTCGATCTTTATATTCTGTCATGTTGAAGTACTAGCTCTATACATTACATTCAGCTGATGGTTTAGTATCAGATCTACATACAATATATCCAGTTGGTATATACTACTACTGGTTATGTATAGGTCTACTACTAAACATAACATATTCCATACAATACATTCAGCTGGTTTCACAACCGGACCTACACAGTACATTCATGGGATCTGCTGCTATAACAATCAGATATAAGTCTGTTTACCAGTCTGTCAGTTTGTCTAATCTTGAAGGATGCGCTCAAAGGTAGTAAAGATGGGACACTGCAACCTGTATTTAATACTGATTTTATCACCAAGATATATACTATACTGTGGCAAACACAATGTTCAGACAGTCTCCAGTTTTACATCCATATTGTTCAGCTTCATCCCTGCCTTGTTGATAGGGTGGCCCTGTCCTGAAGTCACCAGCCACTGGAGCAGAGAATATGAGCTTAGAATATTGGACTTTATGTAATCTAAATTCTAACAGAGAATGGTCGTAATCAGTTCCACCTTTCCCCCTGACAGCTTTCAATAAATACACCCCTTGGCAAATATACAGGGATATAATTAGTTTTAACACAGGTATAATGACCTTATAATGGAATGCTCGTGATGATATAATCATTTTGTGACAAAGACTTTATATAGTCTACTATATAGTCTACTTTTTTTCTCATTTGCCGATTTGCAACAGTAGAGAAACGGGGTGCTGTTGTACAAAACAAGCTGAGCGCTAAGGTGATAGTAAGTCCCATACTTTAACATGGACCAGCGATTGTCATAGCGCTAAGGTGATAGTAAGTCTCATGCTTTAACATGGACCTGCGATTGTCATAGCGCTAAGGTGATAGTAAGCCCCATGCTTTAACATGGACCTGCGATATCGTGAGCATAATTTGCTTCAGAAGTATTACAGCTGTTCGATGTTGTTTGTAAACAAATTGAATCTGGACCAGATAACCCAGTGATTATCACCATGCGATGCGATAACAGGGCATTTGTTTATGAATCATTATTAAATAGTGATGATACCAGATGTTCACGAAAGGTGGGCGTATCCTGCCCCACCGGTCGCACTCGTCATAAAGATATGCTTAATCTAGTCAATTGTTCACCTGAAATTATTCGGGAACATATGATACAAGTCAAAATAGGGAATTGCTGCGGACATCATTTTCGTCACTGATGCATCCACATGTACACCATACAACTCCTTGAACAAAGGCATCGTTTATCCAAGGGGACCATTGATAGCATTTATGCACCTTGCACGTTGAAGACGGTGTTATACGTGTTGCCAACTCCACCATGGACATTCCCTGCAGTGTTAGCCGCCCCTATGGGTCCTTGTGTCTTTGGTGTAACCTGGATATTCTTGGGACTGGGTTGAGGAGGGTTGCGGTCGTTGTTCTGATTACTCATGGTAGTGGTGATCGGCCGTGGTCTGCCGGAACTATCTAGAACAGAAACAAGATGCGTTACGTCATCGTAGTATTGACACCTTAATTAAATCATTACATACCACAATGGGCTGACACTTTGTGCTTTGATTCTGACGTTACATTTATTCACATTTTCAACTGAAGCACTGTTATTCTCATGTTATATATCTAAAAGAAGTTGTATATCTAGTTTTTCTAGTTTGTCCCTTTAGTATCTGTGATTGCTAACAGCCTGCCCCCATGTCAAGATGTAGCCCTGGGGATGATTGACGCAAGTTAACTTGACAATAACATGATCTGTACACAATACAATGTGCTTGCTCATATCCATACTCTATACATGTTCTGGACTCCTGTTATACATATGTGTTCATTCTCGACATGTAACGAATGCATATGTTCAACAGTTGACATTACATCGTAATAATATTTGGTACAAACACAAGTGTGTTTTATCTGTTTATCTCAATCACGTGTTAACACTTACAGTTACATGGATGACCTATAATGATATTCTCCTGTACAAACACAAGTGTGTTTAGTCTGAGGACGTTTATCTCAATCACGTGTTAACACTAACAGTTACATGGATGACCTATAATGGTTTTCCCCAGTAAAAACACAAGTGTGTTAGTCTGAGGACGTTTATCTCAATCATGTGTTAACACTTACAGTTACATGGATGACCTATAATGATATTCTCCAGTACAAACACTAGTATGTTTTATCTGGACGTTTATCTCAATCACGTGTTAACACTTACAGTTACATGGATGACCTATAATGATATTCTCCAGTACAAACACAAGTGTGTTTTATCTGGACGTTTATCTCAATCACGTGTTAACACTTACAGTTACATGGATGACCTATAATGATATTCTCCTGTACAAACACAAGTGTGTTTAGTCTGAGGACGTTTATCACAATCACGTGTTAACACTTACAGTTACATGGATGACCTATAATGATATTCTCCAGTACAAACACAAGTGTGTTTAGTCTGAGGACGTTTATCTCAATCACGTGTTAACACTAACAGTTACATGGATGACCTATAATGATATTCTCCAGTACAAACACAAGTGTGTTTAGTCTGAGGACGTTTATCACAATCACATGTTAACTCTTACAGTTACATGGATGACCTATGATAATATTTTCATGTACAATCACAAGGCTGTTTAGCCTGGTTAGTTAAATCTTCTGTTGACACTTACAGTTGTCTCGATGACCTATGAAATTATTCTCTTGTACCGATACGTCTGTGTTTCGTCTACAGGTTTATCCCAATCACGTGTTAACACTTACAGTAACATGGATGACATACCTGGCGTATGTCGTACTTGGGGATCTGTAGCCGCTGCTCAGTTGGACACCCACTAGCTTGATTCGAACTAAAAAGTGAAAACAATCCAGAATATGTCTGTGCAGCAGTATATCCAACCCTGAAAAGAGTTGTGAAAACACACAAAAAAAACAGTTCAAATATAGAAAACAACTGTACAAATATAGACAACTACTGTGCAAAGATAACCAACTGCTGTGCAAAGATAACAACTATTGTGTAAATAGAGACAACATCTGTACAAATATAGACAACTACTGTGCAAAGATAACCAACTGCTGTGCAAAGATAACAACTATTGTGTAAATAGAGACAAAATCAGTACAAATATAAACAACTGCTGTGCACACATAGCCAACTACTGTGCAAAGATAACAACTATTATGTAAATAGAGACAACATCTGTACAAATATAGCAAATTTCGGTACAAAGATAGCCAACTGCTGTGCAAAGATAACAACTATTGTGTAAATAGAGACAACATCTTTACAAATATAGACAACTACAGTGCACACATAGCCAACTACTGTGCAAAGATAACAAACATTGTGTAAATGGAGACAAAATCTGTACAAATATAGACAACTGCTGTGCACACATAGCCAACTACTGTGCAAAGATAACAACTATTGTGTAAATAGAGACAACATCTGTAGAAATATAGACGACTATTGTGCAAATATAGACAACTACTCTGCAAATATAGACGTCTACTCTGCAAATATAGACAACTACTCTGGAAATATAGGCAATCACTCTGCAGATGATATGATTTTGCACAAGAAGTTTGATGGTCATAAGATTTTCCCAATACTGAGCGTATGAAAAGAGCAGTTCCTGCATATTGAGCTGGCATGCTCTTCCTTGAGTTATGGTAGACTGGAAAATAACTCCAATATTTCTTTTGGGGTGTCACTGACAGAACATGCTCTAACAGTAATAGAAGGCTAAGGGTTCATTGTTGCCAGCTGATGACGAGTGCCCAGTGTTAAAAGGTCGAGTTTCAGCTAGTTTGAACTCCTCCATGACAGGATATCTGTAAGGAAGGCTTCAACTGATTTGATGGCATTTCCTACTGCAGCCGGGGCAATTGAGAGGTTCGATTGATTGTCGTCAGCATAAAGATAGAAGTGCAGTGAAGGGTTCCTGATGATCTGACAAAGAGGCAGGATATATACACTGAAAAACGAGTGGGCCCAGAACAGATCCCAGTTGGAAGCCACACTCGACGTTGAGAATCTGTGATAATGTCTCACCAGTCCTGACTGACTGTACGATTTGATAGGTAAGACTGAATCCACAAGAGAGTTGTTCCTGCGATACCCAGAATTTCAAGTCTCTGAAACAGAATGCCATGGTCGATAGTGTCTAATGCTGATGAAAGATCAAGCAAGACGAACGAAGTTATTGTTTCCTGCCCATAGCTTCTAGGATGTCATTGTAGACATGGCCCAAAGCTGTCTCGGTGCTGTGGCTAGAGTGGTATGCTGACTGGAAGGAATCCTGAAGATTATGTTCCGCAAGATGAGATTTAAGCCTGGAGGCAACAACCTTTTCAAGACACTTGAATGGGCGGTTCGAGACTGGTCGATAGTTTTTCAGGATTAGTATTAGACTTGATTTCTTGAGGACTGGTATGACGTGAGCGTGTTTTAAGGCAGATGGAACACTGCCTGGGTCCAGAGACGTGTTGACGATGGCAGGTAACACTCCCCAAAGCATCACTATATGCTTTCACAGGCCACGTAGACATAGTCCAGAGACTTTCATGGAGAATCTTTGACGATCCGACGACCTCCGACCTAAGAAGCTGGTGTTAAGAGTTCCAGTGGCTTACCGTGAAATGTCTGTTCAAATTCATGCATTGACGTTGTATAAGACTGGATGTTGGCTCTTACTTCTTGATTTTGTCTAGGGTCCATACAGGTAGCAAAAACAATGTAAGTCCCCATAATCCCAGGCTGGCGATCTACCGTCAGTTGTTGGCGATCTATAGCCAGTTTTTTATACTGTTACGTGTCAATAGTAAGAAAAGTTCAGATTAACAAACTGGTTTTATATTCATATTTGTGATCTGCTAGTGTTTTCATTGTCCTTCGTGTTGACAGATATATATAATTCAACTATGTATTTATCATGTATTTAGAAATTGCTTTAGTCACGATATGGCTCAAATATCGCTGATGTGACGTAAACTCACTCACACTTAATGTTGTCACTGAAGGAAGATGCAAACCTGTTGGCAAGTTCAGGCTCATCTGTGAGAGCAGGGACTTCTGGTCCTGGGAACATGGAGAAGTTCACCTAGAAGACTGTGCAATTCCTCATAGTCGTCCTTATTATGAATGATAGTGCTTCGGACAAACGCTGCCTTTGCTGAAGCTCGCGAGGAATTCAGTTCATTACGACCTTGTTTATACAGCTGCCGATGCACTCCAAATTTGCTTTTCCTCTAGACTTTTTTCGCTCTACGACAATGAGTTTTCTAACCCTGACATCGTCATTGTACCACTGAGTATTTGGTCTAACAACAAAACTTCTATTTTTCTTAGGTCCATGTTTGTCAAGTATGTTGGTAAAAGAAGTTTCAAGTCGTTAGACGTTTTCTTTAACATAACCTTCAGTGCAGTAATCAATGTTAGTCGTTATGTCCACAGAGAACTAAGAAACACCAAGGTTCCTGTTTTCCCTATAGGTGACAGACCTAAGATGATGGCCAGGTTTACAGGTGTTGAGGGGACAGTTTATAGCTAAGTGATCAGAGATAAACCTGTTAGTTACATCAATGACTTGGAGGAACGTGTCAAGGTCATGGGTTATGATGAGGTCCAGAGTATGAGCACATCTGTGAGTGAGTTCTGTTTGTGCAAGGAAAGCAACTCTTTGAAATGCTGTGCTTGGCAGTTGGAATACACATCAACGCGAATTACAAGAGGACCTTGATCTGTCATCCAAAACATCAGAGAACTCATTCAGGAAGTCATCAAATGTAACCTTATGATGTCTTGATATTGGAGGGCGATAAATACATATCATCCGCCGCACAGCCATTCTTCAGATTGAAAGTTGACTGCATAAACTCGAAGGCTTTCCTAGACTTGATGTCAGTTAGGTTAGATTTGAGACAGCTTCTAAAACGTACTGCAGCACTTCCTCCACTCCCGACGATTCTTCTAGCCTGAGAGATGTCATACCCTACAGGGAGAATTTCAGTCAATACAGACTGATCACGATCTTCGAGACAGGGCGAGGTTAAAAGTTGGTGGGCTTTTTTATTTCCATTACAGATTTTTCTGGCAATGGGTTTAGGATAACGTTCGCGTTTACCTCCTCTTGATCTAGGCCTAGAACAACGCACACTGGCAATTCCAAGCTGTTTGAGATGTTTCCATAGTATAGGTGTGGCAAGGTAAGCTACCTCTGGTCACACTAGCCATTATTTCACAACAATAGACAAGTCACTCACTGGTGAATCATCCCCAAATGTATAAGCGTGACAAGATAACCTGTCTCTGCCCACACTAGCCATTGTTTCGCAACAATAGACAATTCCCTGGCTGGTGAGTCATCTCCAGATGTATATCAATCAATCAATCTTTATTCAGAACTGAAGGCCATAGTACAGGTATATACAAAGTTCAAAAGCAGAGTGGATTTCTCTTCGACGTAGCATGATATATTAACAAAGCAATAGTTTCAATAAATATACGATTAGAAATTGAAAATAGTTGGATAAATTTATGTTTTGACTGTTGTTTAGGTGTGACAAGTTAAGCTGTCAGTGGCCACACTAGCCATTGTTTCACAACAATAGACAAGGCCCTGACTGGTGAGTCATCTCCAGATGCAATAGGTGTGACAAGTTAAGCTGTCAGTGGCCACACTAGCCATTGTTTCACAACAATAGACAAGGCCCTGACTGGAGAGTCATCCCCAGATGTTCAGGTATGACAGGTAATCTGTCAGTGGCCCATTCTTTCAAAATAATAGATAAGTCCCTGAGAGGTAAGTCATCCTCGGATGCATAGGTGTGACAAGGTAAGCTGTCAGTGGCAACCTTAGCCATTGTTTCACAACAACAGACAAGTCCCTGACTGGTGAGTCATCCTCGGATGTATAGGTGGGACAATTTAAGCTATCAGTGGCCACACTAGCCATTGTTTCACAACAATAGACAAGTCCCTCACTGGTGAGTGATCTCCAGATGTATAGGCGTGACAAGGTAAGCTGTCAGTGGCAACATTAGCCATTGTTTCACAACAATAGACAAGCCCCTGACTGGTGAGTCAACTCCAGACGTATAGGAGTGACAAGATAACCTGTCTCTGCCCACACTAGCCATTGTTTCACAACAATACACAAGTCCCTCACCGGTGAGTCAACTCCAGACGTATAGGAGTGACAAGATAACCTGTCAACACTAGCCGTTGTTTCACAACAATAAACCAGTCCCCGGCTGGTGAGTCAACTCCAGACGTATAGGTGTGACAAGGTAAACTGTCAATGGCAACACTAGCCATTGTTTCACAACAATAGACAAGTCATTGACTGGTGAGTCATCTCCAGACGTATAGGCGTGACAAAGTAAGCTGTCAGTGGTCACACTAGCCATTGTTTTACTACAATAGACAAGTCCCTGGTTGGTGAGTCATCTCCAGACGTATAGGTGTGACAAGGTAAGCTGTCAATGGCCACACTAGCCATTGTTTCACAACAATAGACACGTCCCTTGCTGGTGAGTCATCACCAGACGTATAAGTGTGACAAGATAACCTGTCTCTGCCCACACAAGCCATTGTTTCACAACAATAAACAAGTCCCCGGCTGGTGAGTCATCTCCAGACGTATAGGTGTGACAAGATAACCTGTCTCTTCCCACACTAGCCATTGTTTCACAACAATAAACAAGTCCCTGGCTTGTGAGTCATCTCCAGACGTATAGGTGTGACAAGATAACCTGTCTCTGCCCACACTAGCCATTGTTTCACAACAATAAACAAGTCCCCGGCTGGTGAGTCAATGGCAATGGCAAAACTAGCCGTTGTTTCACAACAATAAACAAGTCATTGACTGGTGAGTCATCTCCAGACTCATAGGTGTGACAAGGTAAGCTGCCAGTGGCCACACAGGCTATTGTTTCACAACAATAGACAAGTCCCTGGCAGGTGAGTCATCCCCAGATATGTAGGCGTGACAAGGAAAGCTGTCAGTGTTTTAGCCACAACAATAGACAAGTCCCTGGTTGGTGAGTCATCTCCAGACGTATAGGTGTGACAAGGTAAGCTGTCTCTGCCCACACTAGCCATTGTGTCGAAACAATAGACACGTCCCTTGCTGGTGAGTCATCTCCAGACGTATAGGTGTGACAAGATAACCTGTCTCTGCCCACACTAGCCATTGTGTCGCAACAATAGACACGTCCCTTGCTGGTGAGTCATCTCCAGACGCATAGGTGGGATACGGTAAGCTGTCAGTTGCCACATTAGCCATTGTTTCACAACAACAGACAAGTCCCTTGCTGGTGAGTCATCTCCAAACGTATAGGTGTGACAAGGTAAGCTGGCAATGGCCACACTAGCCATTGTTTCACAATAATACACAAGACCCTGGCTGGTGAGTCATCTCCAGACGTATAGGTGTGACAAGATAACCTGTCTCTGCCCACACTAGCCATTGTTTCACAAGAATAAACAAGTCCTCAGCTGGTGAGTCAACTCCAGACGTATAGGTGTGACAAGGTAAACTGTCAATGGCAACAATAGCCATTGTTTCACAACAATAGACAAGTCACTGACTGGTGAGTCATCTCCAGACGTATAGGTGGGATACGATAAGCTGTCAGTTGCCACATTAGCCATTGTTTCACAACAATAGATAAGTCCTCAGCTGGTGAGTCATCTCCAGACGTATAGTTGTGACAAGGTAAGCTGTCAATAGCCACACTAGCTATTGTTTCACAACAATAGACAAGTCACTGACTGGTGAGTCATCTCCAGACGTATAGGTGGGATACGGTAAGCTGTCAGTTGCCACATTAGCCATTGTTTCACAACAATAGACAAGTCCCTTGCTGGTGAGTCATCTCCAGACGCATAGGTGTGACAAGGTAAGCTGTCTCTGGCCACACAGGCTATTATTTCACAACAATAGACAAGTCCCTGGCAGGTGAGTCATCCCCAGATATGTAGGCGTGACAAGGTAAGCTCTCAGTGGCCACACTAGCCATTGTTTTACAACAATAGACAAGTCCCTGGCTGGTGAGTCATCTCCAGACGTATAGGTCTGACAAGGTAAGCTGTCAATGACCACACTAGCCATTGTTTCACAATAATAGACAAGTCCCCGGCTGGTGAGTCATCTCCAGACGTATAGGTGTGACAAGATAACCTGTCTCTGCCCACACTAGCCATTGTTTCACAACAATAGACACGTCCCTTGCTGGTGAGTCATCACCAGACGTATAGGTGTGACAAGATAACCTGTCTCTGCCCACACTAGCCATTGTTTCACAACAATAAACAAGTCCCCGGCTGGTGAGTCATCTCCAGACGTATAGGTGTGACAAGATAACCTGTCTCTGCCCACACTAGCCATTGTTTCACAACAATAAACAAGTCCCTGGCTGGTGAGTCATCTCCAGACGTATAGGTGTGACAAGATAACCTGTCTCTGCCCACACTAGCCATTGTTTCACAACAATAAACAAGTCCCCGGCTGGTGTGTCAACTCCAGACGTATAGGTGTGACAAGGTAAACTGTCAATGGCAAAACTAGCCATTGTTTCACAACAATAAACAAGTCACTGACTGGTGAGTCATCTCCAGACGCATAGGTGTGACAAGGTAAGCTGTCTGTGGCCACACAGGCTATTGTTTCACAACAATAGACAAGTCCCTGGCAGGTGAGTCATCCCCAGATATGTAGGCGTGACAAGGTAAGCTGTCAGTGTTTTAGCCACAACAATAGACAAGTCCCTGGCTGGTGAGTCATCTGCAGACGTATAGGTGTGACAAGGTAAGCTGTCAATGACCACACTAGCCATTGTTTCACAATAATAGACAAGTCCCCGGCTGGTGAGTCATCTCCAGACGTATAGGTGTGACAAGATAACCTGTCTCTGCCCACACTAGCCATTTTTTCACAATAATAGACAAGTCCCCGGCTGGTGAGTCATCTCCAGACGTATAGGTGTGACAAGATAACCTGTCTCTGCCCACA